AAGGAAAGTGAGAGTTTGCTCCCCATGCCTCCAGGGTCTCACTCTTAATTTGTCACAATGCCACACTCATTTTGGAATTAATAAGGTCATAAAAAAAAATAAAAAGCCAAATGCGTAATTTGATTGAAGATGCTAATACGCGAGTCAATGTATCGAAAAATAAATGAACTGCCGATAAGCTCGCCCTCCCGGACTATTTTGGATGAAAACCCATCGAAGTTGGAAATATCCGCAACCTAGACCAGAAAAACTGAAGCGCTAAAGTGTGGCGCTTAATTCCAGTGCATCACCGTTGAAATCAAAGAAAGAATTGATCATAGAATCCGCCAGTCTGGCCTCCCGACCAAACCTCCGACCGACCGTCATTCCACAAACTTCATCAAAGAGCACAAGTCGCTAAAAGTCTCTCATCTGTGAAGCTACCATTGTCAGGTATCTCTCTTTAATTTGGATGAAAGAAATTGGCCAATTAATATGGCGAAAAAAGGTTTAGTTTTGTTTTTAAAATATAAATATTGCCGAACGTTTTAGTTAATTATGCTTATTCAGCTTGTATGCTTGTTGTCCTATTTCATTTCACGTGATGTTACTCTGGAGAGTTGTTTAATTCAAATGCAAATCAAATTCCCGTGCGAATGAATGAATAATTAGAAGAACAATTCTCCAGAGAACATCCGTGAAGCTGGGCGGGTCTTGTTATTATTTTAAAACTAAAATAAGCTAGAGGCTTAAGCCGAATCACTGCTTTCAGTGACAAGAGTCTAGGAGTAAGAATGTGCTAAAGTTTTGTTGTGTTTAAATTAAATAATTGTGCGCGCGAAGATTTTAGACTAGAAAATTGTTGACTAATAAATTTGGTCGCGATTGGTTTTTTTTAATATGATCGAGTTTTGAGTTTGGTTCTAAAATCTAACTTAACGCGTTAATTTCTATTTCAGAAGTTTAAAATAGCTTGTTAATCAAAAATCCCCATTGCAAGAGATTGTAGAGTCCTTGTAGTGTCCTTTGCATCCGTGACCTCTCTGCTCACGCAATGTGAAAAGGAGCATTGCGTGACAATCCGAGGAAGCCTCATTATTAGTCGATTATAGTGGAAAAAGATTAAAAAACCCATGAAAAAAATTGAGCCAACCTTGAAAAGTGCGAGCCCCTAACGAAATGTTTATGACTGAAGTTTTATTGTTATTGCAAACAATATATTTAAAAATAACGAAATGCTACATTGATTTAATTTTTACCTAGTATATTAATGATATTTATAACCTGTTGGTGAAAAGTTTTGAATTCCCGTTTGATTAGTTTAGTTGGTAAGAAAAAAAATAACTAAAGGGCTTAAAATAATGATTAATGTAAGATATTTCAGGATTACCCTTCATCAATACTAATTAATAGAGGGGGTAAGTTTCTAAAGAAACTGTGGTGCTGAATCGGTGGGGAGTATAACAAGATAATTTGGTTTTATCAACTGGGTTGATAATGTGAATTGGCCCCCGTTAAGAGATTCGAATCTCTTTACGGTGGCCAATTCACGTTATCAACCCAGTTGATAAAACCAAATTATCAATACTAATTAGCTGTTTAATGGAATGCTGCCAATTTACTTAACAGTTTACTAGGCTACCAAACAGAATTATTTCTCGAAGACCTATTAAATATCTAGTTTCTAATTAATCGCCAAGTGACAAATAAGAATTACTCTATTGAACACTCCAAAAACTTGACTAGACACAAGCTGTCAGCACAAGGATTCCTGGGATTGTTTTGGGTCCTAGCATGAGCTATGATTGGTTTACGGTTAACAAGGCCACTATTGACCCAATCACAGCTCATGTTGGTTACCAAGGCAATTCCAGAGACCCTGGTGCCAAAAGCTGGTGCTGGTGAAGTTTGTGGAGTGTTCACTACAAATAAAAATATTTTTTGGAAAAAATGATGTTTAAAGTTCAATGAAAATGAAACAGAGAATGAAACTAGTTAAGTTGTGAAATTTCTTTAAAGGGAGAATGAAAATTTAAGAAAAAGCTTAGTAATAATTTTTTCGTAAAAAAGATGTTTTGTTTATAATTGGGACTGTAGAATTTTATTTTAGTTATTTAAAGTCAAAGCTGTTATATTTAATGAAAACCTAGAAGAGAGAGAAATCCTGACCCAGTAGCTACCCAATCAGAGAGACCCCCAGAGACTCAGCTCANTGATTAGAAATAGTTTTAAAGCTAACTTGATTCGTTAATTTTCATTGTAGAAGTTGAGAATATGTTTTGTTAATCAAAAATTCCCATTGCAAGAGATTGTAGCGTCCTTCGCGTCGGTGACTTCTCTGCTCACGCAATGTCTCTCCTCGCTTCGTGGAGGAGAATTGCGTGACAATCCGAGGAACTGTAAATTTTAGTGGATTTTAGTGGAAAAAGAGAAAACCCATGAAAAAAATTGAGCCTACCTAGGAAAGTATCACCCCCTCAAAACATCTATAATTATCAATATTTATTACTATTACAAAAAAAAAGCAAAATAAATTTCAGAATAAAGAAGTGCTATATTGATTTAATTTATATCTATATAAATTGTCCTTCTAAATTGGCGGTGAAAAGTTTTGAATTCCTGTTTTATTAGTTAGGTTGGGTAGAAATTGAATGAAATAAAGTGCTTAAAATAATGATCAGTGCAAGATGCTTTAGAATTACCCTTCATCAACAGACTAATTAACTGTTGAATGGAATGTCACCAATTTACTTAACAGTTAACCAGCCTACCAATGAAGAATTATTCCTCAAACATCTATTATATATTTAGCTTCTAAGAAATAACCAATTGACAAATAAATAAGAATGACTATTAAACACTCCAGAAACACCTACATGCAACAAAATTATCTGTCTAGTGACTCAGTGCTAATCCTTGCATTGGTATGATGCTTATGCAGTTTCTGCGGTCTGTAAAGTTTTGATATTCCTCAAAGGGGCACTCAGGATTTCAAGTGACAGGGATGATCAAATTGAGGCTAAAATCAAAACCCACAAGATTGTTTTGAATACCCTAAACAAATCCCTACTTAAATCAAGCCACCCATAAAACACTTGTCAAATTTTCCAACCCAGAACACTCCCAGAATTGAAAATTTCCAATACCCAAAAATCCTTCAACCATCCCCACAACTTGAAATCCAGTGTACCCCTATGTGCCAATCATGGAAGAAGTCGGTAGTATCTGGCAGTGTCAATAACAGTCTTGTAATTTATTATTCTACACTGAGGTGCTTCAGGAGTCACATGTAAGTAGTTTTTAGGTTTGTTGAGGTCATGAATAAGTCAGTTGTAAGGTGTAAGCTAGTAAATCTTGGTGTCAGATGATGTCAGTGTCAATCCATCTATTGTTAGTCAAGTTTGTTCTGGCTCTGTTTTAAGCTTGGTTGGTTTGGTGAGGTCACAAATAAGTCATTAGTAAGGTGTCAGTAGTTTTTGGTGTCAGTTTCAGTCCATCTGTTGCAAGTCAAGTTTGTGTTGGGTCTGTTATTTGAAGTAAAAGTTTGTTGGCTGGTTTATTGAGATCATGAATAAGCCATATGTTAGTAGTACTTAGTTAGTAGATGTCGTTGTCAGATTCAATCTATTGTTTGTTAGTCAAGTTTGTGTACAGTAGGTTCTGTTTGAAGTCACAGTTAATTGTGTATTGCTTTGTTGAGGTATTAAAAAGTCACTTGCTGGGTGAAAGAAAAAGTACAAGCCATGTAGTTGTTAGCATCAGTTGAGAGTGGTTTGTTCTAATAAGTTAGTGACTGTACATGTTTTAGAATTCATCACGTTGACTTTCTCAAAACCAATGCAAGCATTTTAGCAAGAGTCTATCAAGCTAAAGAAATAACCAGCTACCTGTAACCTGAATGGGGGTTGTGGAACAACAGCTGGGTGAAAAACCTCCCCGTACGTCCACTTGCCCCTAGGAGGAAAACCCCGGGCCAGCTGTACCCCACATTCAAAGGCCTCCCGGGCTGGGCCAAAAAAAAATATGATTAAATAGACAATCTACTTAAACCATATTGTGGTCTTGTCTTGGTTTTCTTCTAGTCTCTGCAAAGTCCATGCTGTGTTGTAATGACCTCAGTTGTCTAGCATCCTGTGATGAAACAACCAAAACGATAAATTATGGTGGAATCTAATCTGAAGCTCTAGACACCAAGAAAGACAGACATTTTTACAATTTGTTTAGGTTTCGCAGACTAAAAAACAGTCCTCGCATGCGTCAAAAGTGACAAGGTGAATTTGAAGTTGAAGTTGAAGTTGAAAGTTTATTGCACAATTTAACACTACAGAATAATATTATAATCCAATTAGCTCAACTTAGTTGTTTTCAATTGGTGCTATTAATGCATGTACTGCTTTTAAAATTTACTTGGTTTTACTTTTGTCTCATTAATATAGTCATATTATTTTTGATTGTTCAGACTCTTGATTACAATATCATTGTGCTATTTACCTCCCCATGAGTTGGGATAATCAAAGTTTGACTGTACCCCCAAAATTAGATTAGCCCTTAGTTGGGTTGCTATGCTATAAATAACTAAGGATCATAAATTATTTACATGTAAAGGAACTTTTTAGTACTTTTTAAAATGTAAAATTGGTACATGTCATAAGGAGTAATGACAAGGATTGAATGGAGCCTAACAAACATGCAAAATTAAATTTGCTGTTTTTGCGTTCGACAAAAAGGAGAACGTATTCCTAATGAATTGAGATTTTATGGGACAACCGGTCTTGGACCCAAACTTGACCTCCCATTGCCAAAAACATCATGGCCCATACACGTGCTTATGAGTCTGTCTTGGTTTCTCCATCGATTCGCTTGTTGTAGCAAAGCTTGCAAAATTTCTCAGGTGCAAGAGAATTCAGGAGAGGTGCAATGTAAGTTGGGAATTTTATGGAAAATAATGACAAAATTCATAACTGTACACTAAGCCAAAATTGATTTAAATTCAGAAAGGTACTGATGAATACTAATGCTCAGAGCAGATTCTAAATGGTTTCTTTGATGCACCATGATCCAAGTGATCTTGGATTAATCTGTTTGGTAAAGAAATTTGCTAAATCTGTTTTTGAATTCAATGGTAAATTCTTAAAATTTCAAACACTGTGTACCAAAGATTTCTTGGTTGAATGGAAAGCCTTATTAGAAAGCTTTGAAGTCATATTAACATGTGTTCCACGTTTAGCAACAACAACTTTTTGTACTGTAGGAGAGTTGATAAAAATAATAAAAAGTTATTATGAGTGCATTTAAAAATTGTAATGTGCTTACAATAATTTGTTTTTAATAAACCTGCCAGACTATTTACTAGGTGTTTCAAAGAGCTCAACATATGCCATGAGGAGATTCTTCCCAGCTAACATCACTTCGCCCTAAATTTGACAACGTACATCTGGCAAAGTAGGTTAGAAAATAAGTGTGTTTACCTGGTGGGTGAGGGTCTGCACGTTTTTGGCTTTCCACTGTCCTTCATCACTTCTCTGCTGTCTGTCAAGGTTTGTCCACTGTCTATCCAGATGATCTGAAGTTGATTTAACAAATTTTTAGAAACAAGGAACACTTAATTAACATTGACTGGGCCCAGGTTGTTCAAAAGGTGGATAATGCTCTCCACTGGACAAATCACTGCCCAGCGGATAGAATGGTTTGTTTTGTCAAGACTTGTGCATTGGATAGTGATGTCTTAGGGATGTTAAGTTTTAATTGAGGTATGTTTTACCAAGATCTGAGTTACCAATTAGCAATGTTATGATGTCATACTTTGGAAATACATTGTCGGAATCTAAGAGCTGAAATAGTTGTCTAAACAATGGCAAAATTTAAAAAATTGTACTGTAATATATTGCCCATTAATTCAGCTCTAAATAAACCACAAGGTCAACACATACAACATGGCCGCTTCAACACAACTTTATTGCTGCAATGCACTCTGAGTGCTGACACAATATGTTCTATAGGGCACTTAACATATTATACTGTTTCCCCCTTAGGAATGAGATATTCTTACAACAAGTAACACAGTATTAGCTGATACATTAGCTACAGGTTCAGTCGGACAACAGGTTTCCTGATTCTCTCTAATCCTTTCAAAACAACTGGCGAAGGAGTGTTAACATGCTCTTCATTAACACTAGAATTTGGCTCATTATCTTCATCTGAGAAATTGACTGGCGGCTGCGGCATGCTGGTTGAAACTTGGCTATCAACTATACCTAAGTTAGATTGTTGGTCAACACAATTCTGGAACAGGTATACAAGTCATGTATTTAACTCTCTAGTTGCATTTGGCACCTTATCATGAGCTTTGATCAAATGATCAGCATGAACATGTATATCTTGTTTTATGGCCAGTCTTAATCAAATAAGTTCTAGGTCCACAGACCTTAACTACCCTTGCCAGAATCCATCTCTCAGTATTGCAACCGGCTTGAGTATTTTTCACTTGAACTATGTCATTCTCTACAAACAGGTTATCTTGATGACTCTTTAAATCCTTATATTCCTTCTGCTTACTCTGTCCTGTTCTGTTCTATTCTATTCTATTCCTTCTGCTTACTCTCTATTGTTTGGACTAGATCAGTTTTCACCAGACTTAACACGTAAGCAGGGGACATCTCATCAACAATTCAGCTGGCATAGCAGCTGTGGTGCTACCCAGCTTGACCTAACTTGAGACTTGAAACAACCAAACACATGATAAACTGTCTAAATTTTATAAGATGCCATGAAATCTGCAGAATTTGGGAAGTTTCCTTGTCACATTACCCTTCCCAGCGCCTGAGAGCATTTTTGGAGAAAGAAAGGTTACAGTAAAAGTTTTGTCACTCTCTTTGAACTGCGCAAGGAATCTGTTTCAAAACGAAAGAACCACTGTGTCGCCTCAAAGTCTAATCAAATTGATACGTGGTTTAACTTGCCACCATGGAGTCTTCACGAATATTTGAAGAGATTCCATACCACAAACCTTCAAGAAAATTTCTGCTAAAAACTTCCGTTTTAAGAGTTCTATTAATGCAAGGTATTAAAATGCCACTGAAGACACTAAAAAAAGAGATGTCCAAACATTTATATCAAGTTTAAAAAGTCTCTGGACATGCTGCTAGATTGGCTTCTTGTTTGTTTATTCTCACTGTGTAAACAAGAGTCATTGAAACTAGCAAATAAAAATACCTTTGTTAGATTTACCTGCAACAAAAACAAATCTCAAAACTCAGCAGTGTCCTCATTCATAACTAGCAGGCCGCAACTTCTTTGGTTTTGACAAGAAAACCACTTCTAATGTTTATCTCAGTATCNGTAAAAAGTGGGTCAGGTTTGTTGTTATGCAACAGAACAGTGCAACCTTAATTTATGACTTAAACACAATGAAAGGTACAGTGGAGAGTTACCTTAAAAAAATAGCACATTCATTTAAAACAGTACAGTTCCAAGCCTAAAAAATTGCACCTAGTTCAGTCTATAAATCTTAAAAAAACGGAAAGCTGTTTTGAGCCACCTTCAACAGTATTGTTACTCAAAAATACACGTAGTTAGTTGTGTCTCTGACATCCTACCCCCTTCACCTCATGCACATATCCAATAGAAGGACTAACAAATGGCAATGTCAAATGTAAGCATATGGTAAAGCATGCGTACGAGTCCATCCATCAGGCCACCACCTATATGTACATGTGTACCTTGGGTTTCTGTAACATGAAGAGACTAGGAGGATTTCTTCTCCACCCTGGATGGTATGCTAGCCCATCACAGGGTTAACCCCCATCATTAAATTTGCCAGAACTAATTTATACATAGTGCACATCTGGGTGGAGAGAAACACTGTAAAGAGAAAAATGTCTCGCTTAAGAACACAACACTATGTTCACAGTCAGGGCTATAACCTGGACCACTCAATCCGGGGTCTTAAGTGCACTAAACATATGGCAACTGTGCCTTCCTAAAGCATATGGAAAACAATATTATTTATTTACCTGATCAGTCAAGGTGACTCTGCTTTGGTATCTGGTAGTTAAAAATGCTGCATTTAGATGTTCAATCCATCAACAATTCTCAAGCTCCCTTCTTTCTTCTTTAATTTTTTTGTTTGATCTTGTCTTTTTCATCCACTCTGTCCTTAGTCTGACAAAAAAAATATATGAGAAAAATTGTGCATCCCTACTACACACAACATAACATAAGAATGCAACAGTCATTGCAACATACTTTGCCATCTGTTACAAACTTTCCAAGATGGCAGCGGTGCCCAATAAGACAGGTGTTTATGGGAAAGACAAGTGCCATCAATTGTCCAATTTCTGGAAGCAAGTCATCCCAGTACTTACTGATGCAAAGAAATGAGACCCCTGGTTGAACTGGATGTGTTTTGAAAATTTAAGGTTGCTCTCAATCCCATGTACAGAATCTTTTTAAACCCATTGCTTTTAAGTTTCGGATGTTTACACTATTTTTTGGCTGCCATGTTGGTGGAGCACAGAGTTCCACCAACATGGCTCTGTAAATTTGCACAAAACATTTCAACGAATATCTGAAGTTTGGGAAAACGCAGAGACCTCAAACTTGGAGAAGTGTCTTCTTTGCCTATCTGCTATAACATTACAATTTCTTGACTTTATCCACTGAATAGTTTTCGATTTAATTTTTCGTTGCATGACGGTGAAAACCATCTATAGCAGCGTATCACTAACTACTAACTGTTAACGGCTTCTAGCTGAAAAACTAGCTGTTATCTGTTGAAAATTATACTGAAATCCAAAGGTAAACATGTATCTGCATATAGTGTAGTGTGCGTGCAAAACAACTGCGAGAGACGAAAATGTTTTACTTACTGGGGAGGTGACAGGAAAGAACTTAACAGGCACCCTAAAAGTTTTCAAAAAAGATGAATACTTTAAAAAATGCATGTTTACCCCTGCATTTTATGTTATGAAATGGAAGTGGCAAGCCTATTCAACATGTGATTAGTTTCTGGTTGTGAGGAAAAGCTATTTAGACTGTATTTTAGCTGAACCAGAGGAAGGCTGTCAGGGACGCTAAAAATGCTGTTGCATTGACTTTGTTATTAAAAACATACCAAAATAGTTGTTATGTTATCATTTACCATGCAGTCTTAGGATTTTTATATCATTGTTTTTGCTTTTAGACTGTAAAGGCATTTCTTTCCTGTAAAGGTGAATTCTATGGAAATCTGTAAAGAAACATCTTTTCCTTCTTACATCAGCATTTTTGTTTGGATTCAAGGCTAATTATCTCGAAAAAATGTGTGGCGACCTCCATTTTTCTTTGTGGATTCCAATAGCCCTTGCAAAGATCTACTTTTTCCATACATTCTTAATCTGGCACAAAAACCTTTGAATTTAGTAGGCACCATCTTTAACACAAAAAGGAACATTTTTAAGAGAAGCAACAGATCAAAATGTATCTTTGCATTGCATTAGAATGATTGTCATGTTAATTTAATAACACATAAAGTTCTATTAACAGTCCTGACCTCAGTTACAATGTAAGTTTGCCACTGTTTTCAGTGCTTATAAAATGATCAAAAATTGAGATGCCCTAGATTTCATCAATATCCATAGTTATCTACATTTTGAAAAATAGTGTTTCCATTGAGAACTATTGGCTGATACAAGTAGTTGCCTCACTGAAATTTGATTTTCTTGAAACAAATATCTGCCTGAGAAACAAAGATTCAAGGGCTAATATGCTACAATGTTTGGAGGCATCAATGTACCCCAAATGACCGTCATTCATTGGCGCCCTTTAAGGTTGGACATTTGACTAAAACCCCAGTAAAGCATATTTTCTGAAAGCTCGAGAATTGTAGGTTACGAAGGTATATTTATTAAAATAGAAAAGTTGAGGTTTTCCAAATATAATGCCCTATTTCCCAAAGTACAGAGGTTCACTTATCAAGTTCATTTCCAGCCAGATTTGAGCAGGAGGACACGATCAACATCATTATGTCTGGTTTGTTTTGACCCGCAGTTACACTTTGACAGTTGATAAAACCTGCATTCCCTTCACTAAAATAGTTATAACTTTTGAAAGAAGCAAAAACTAAAAATATGCTTCTGGTAGTACTCAATTGTGAAAATTTCTCTGTAAACAAACAAATGTTTTTAAAATTTTAATTATGTCTTATCCTGGTTGTTCAATTCCCCAACACCATTGTTTTGCCTGATTATTGCGCAGCATTCTCTCCAAATTATAGCGAAAGACGCTAAAAACTCGTCAAAAGTGAACTCAAAAGGTGTAATTCACTCACTGAAATTTTGTTTCAAGACACAAGGGAAAATATACTTTGGGGCGTTCTTCCAGTGTAATGAGATAATTATAAAAAACGTGTGAAAATAATGATGTGTCGTTGATCGATAAAGTGAAGGCTGATTTTACTTTAACAACAGAGCTTGTTTAAAAATGGATGAACAACCAGGATAAGATATAATTAAAATTTTAAAAACGTTTGTTTGTTTACAGAGAAATTTTCACAATTGAGTACTACCAGAAGCATATATATGGTACTACCCATACAGGTATTTTCCTTGGACAGACAATATGAGCAGATAGTGTCTCTCTCCTCATGAACACTATTGGGTCATGCGATCAATTTCAACCAATAAGAATTGGAGAAAATTTGGTGGTGATAGACAACGATCGCTCACATGCTGCTCTTGAAACTGAACATTATTCTCAATTTCAAGCTTAACTGAAATCATAGGTTTTGTGATGTAATCCTTTAGAATTTCTACTAAACAAAATTATTAGACTACTGGCCCTTGCTTTCTATGAGCAAGAATCAACCTGGCTACACCTTGTTGACTATTCGCTCATAAAAAATGTTGGCTTGTAGTCTAATTGTTAGATCCAAATATAGAGTAAATATTCTAATAACTGTGTTAACTCGTAGAATTCTTACTCAACATCTGTCAAATGATGATTTCCAATTATTCTTATACAAATTAAATAATATTTTACAGATTTTACAGCTGACGTTCTAGCAAAATCACACTCCAACGAGTTTACAGAAGTTTAGTTTCCACGAGCATTATACATGAGGATATATGCATATTAGATGGAGCTCCTTTGTGTTTTTTAAATCAATAATTTTAGCACCTTTTATTCTTTTAGCATTT